GAATTAAACTTTGACAGATGTTCTAAAGCACTGACTGCTAAAAATCTGCAACAGCCTAAATTTTGGGAATGAACAGAAAAGCATTTATAAGTTCCAGCTAACATTAGCATCTTCCTCTCGCTCCAAACCCACCACATCTTCAGAAAAAATCATGTTTTTGAAATCTAACTAACACAATGACTCAAAACAATTTTGAATGACCCACAGAGCCAAGGGGAGGGCAGCGAAAGCTGCAGAACGAGTTGGGGTGTGTTTGTGTCTGTCTGTGGCACAGTTCAGTGTCAAAGATTGTATCTTCCTTCACCGCAACATTCAGATGGTTTAAGGTTAGCACAGCAGTGCCCTATTTTGTTTTATTGTGCGGGAAGAAAACAGATCCCCATGGGAATAATTTCTTCCATTAATTTATCTTCTTAAAAACAGTTCTTTTGAAATGCAGGTCACTACTTAGGCACAAATCCCACTGAAGCCTGTGGAAACAGCAGACAGAAAGAAAACCAGGCCATTTAGTTCCTTGAGGTTATCATTCTGTAACCTAGAAATATGTTGCACTCTGGGGGTGATACCACAAGACGTTCTTCAAGTACAAATAAAGAGGAAAACACTTCATATTGACAGTGGGTGTATGACAGTCCATTACTAACTCTGAGAACTGCCACCAGGTTCACAGAAACACCTTAGCGCTCACTAGTGAACAAAGCCCAGTGCCGTGTGCTACCAGGTACTAATTTTTTCTTTTCTGAGTCTTAAACAAGAACACATTTGCACCAAACTTAATTTGTAAGGTCTGACAGAAAATTAAGGATGGATGAATTGCTACCTATAATTTAAATTCTAGCTTCTTTAGAAATGCCTGGATTACCCAACAAAAGAGCTAACAAGATATATTTTCTCTCAAGAAAAAAAAAAAAAAAAAAAAAACAAAAACATTCCTCAATCCATAATTGCTTTAACATGTATCAGGCTATGCATTTGCATTTCACTAAGGAACTATTAAGAAACCTCTAGCACTAATAGCACCAGACACTTTCTTCTCCATAAGGAAAGGCCAAGAGCAGAATTTATGCTACCGGAACCACAGCTGGTAAACCCGTAAGGAGGCAAAGCAAAATCTTTCCAAAGCTTGGCGCACCCTGCAAGCAATTGGCATGTTCACCCCAGCCTGCCTAAGAACCAGCAGCCCGGTTCTGACAGCTATCCTCTAATAACATCACCAAGCTACAGGCTAGGACCAACCAGGGATAACAAAACCATGCCATGAAGAAACTGCACAATTCAGTAAGCTGCTGGGGAAGGTTTTTCATTATAAGTAGTAATGAAGTCAGTATAAGAAAGAAAGCTGCCAAAAAATAAACTGTCTTCTTTAGAAAGGGAAATCAAATCTACAGATCTTTTCATCTTAAACTAGATTCCAAGATGTGTTTCTTAGCAATTTCTCACCAGCCCAGGTCCTCCTTACCAGGCCCGTTTGTATTACATCGTCTCCAACTGTCCTCTGACATGATCGAGCCCTGCGTGGTGCTCTACACTGTGAGCTCCCAGCCAAGGATTCAGATCGAGATCTCTCTGTAAAAGCAAAACTTAGCTCCATTTTCACAAGACCGCCAGCAAGCAAAGTGGGTAGAAGAGAGTTATAAAAACATGAATTTCTGTCACTCCAGAACAGAGCTGTCTATGATAATTTTAGGTGTGCAAGGTGAGTCTGTATTCCTCAAAAAAACAAACCCTAATATACTAATGATTTTATGGGGCAACCAAGGAGATTGGCAACTCAAATAAAACACATGAATATTAATTAACACAGCTCTTCAAGATGTCCATGTTAAAGTCTTCTGCTGTTTCGCATAGGTCTTCATGCCTTTCAGTTAACTGGCTAAACACCTTATGCTGAGCTAAAGAGTGCATTACAAGAAATGACAGCTGAGTAAGGCTGGGTTTTTCCCATGTCAGGAGCAGCCCACGGTGCTGCCCGTATGTGCCGTGCAACCCAGCACTGACACCAGTCCCACCAGCTGCAGGAGGGAGCAGCCTGACGGTCTAAATATCAGTTTCATCCCAGAGACTTCCTATTTTTCAATTGCACCGACTCCATGTTAGGAGAGCAACAGGCAAAATTTGGGATGTCTAGCTGCAACACTACCATGAGGAAACAGCAAACTTTTCTGTTGTAATTATCCCATGGCTCACAAAAATCAGAGTTGTAAATCAGTACTGTATAATGTTTATAGTGGCACCTTATTTACTGATGGCTCTACTGCATTTCTCATTGCTGTATCTGAGATGTCACCCTTTTATAATGTGTTCCCATATATTGCTAGAGCAATTACAAGAGCTATACGTTGTGTTACTTTAATAATACAGAACGGGATTTTGTCTTATAAGGAAAAGATGGGAAAGAAATCCCTTTAGTGAATATGTAAGTTATAGGAAAACAGTCTTAAAGTCACGATATAAAGTAAGAAAGATTACATTTAGCAAAAATAAACAGCAGCAAACCATCATCCGTACTCGTAAAAGAAACTTATATCAAACACATTCTGCACAGATCTTTAGATAATCTCATATTTTTCATGTTACCACAATAACAAGAATTGTATGCCAGTCTTTTTCATGGGTATTTACTACTCAAGTGATGTTACTAGTTTTTAATAAGCCTTTCCAGTTAAATGGGTTGATTGAGACTAAGTTCAAAGAACTCAAAACTAGCTATGAAAAGGGACTGAAGGGCAGAACAGATTTCAGTTTGGAAGTCCAGGTGAGGACAACAGCTGGCAGCACAAGAAGACTACGGCAAAAGCTGAGAAAAGAAGCCAAGAGAGGGAGAACCCTGAATCAAACAACAGACTGAGCAAGATAAGATGGGAGGGCAGGGAGACCAAGAGGAGAGAAAGCCAGAGAATGGGAGTGCTGAATTCTGCTGGGGCCCAAACCTAGGTTTTTGTGACTCTGCAAGTAAAAATCATACAGAACTTTGTATTAATTTGTCGATTCATAGATCAGATTTGTAAAACTATTTCAAACTACTTCTTAGTATTCTTACTGAGTACTATTTTTAAAACTTTGTGTATGGCAAATCAGTGTTTTTCTTGCAAAATCTGAACCCAAAATCTATCAGGGCCATGAAGAGATCTCAGTAGAATTTTATAGTCCAGACTATGACAAAGAAAAAGTAATGCAAATGAAAAGTTCCTCCTCTTCTCTGAGGAACTACAGTTTTATTCCTACTAGAACTCAAAATCACCTCAGATACAAAATAATCATAAATGGTAGAAAGATGCTCCTAGTCTGAACTGCCAATATTGTAATCTAGAACCATGAGCACTCTCTACTAATTACTTCAATGTACTTTTTGTTGATTGGCTTTTTGTTTCCTTCAGTTTCCTAAACAAATAACAAAACTAAATACGTTACATAGCTTCATTACTAAATGTGTTTACTTTTAAAGAAGGGGAGTGGAGCTCCTATATCCTAGATGAAAAACAAAGCCTCCAGCTTTGCTTAACCAGAACGATAACCCCATATATACAGCAGTGTTTTCAGGTAACAATAACCAATCCATCAAAGCACACAGCCTAAAACTTTCCTCTGCTACATTCAGGTATAATAGAAACAGCAAATGCCAGCTGGCCTTTTCCATTGTCCCCCAGTCCTGAGAATTTACAAAGAACACCTTTCAGAATTGAATATTTGAATACGATCTCAGTTCATACATGACAGATAGCACACAATTTAAGGCACACTGATTAAAATGCTTATCTCAGTACAAATGATCTATTCAGAACTCCATTTGCTTTGGACCAGCTTCACTATTGCCCCTGCTTTTGTCGCTCCCCACAATACCTTATGACCAAACTGGTTATTTCTTAAGAGGTTTTGTAGTGCAGTGACTTGTACACCTTGTCTTTCACCTTTGAATGTAGGTAGAACTGTAGCCTCTTTTGGATATCAACCAACCATTTATAAATTTAATGCATATTGCTATCTTTGTTCTGGAAGCAGAATGATCAGTGTCCCAAGATGGGATTCAGCAGCCTTCCCCAGGCATGCAGCTAATCATTTGTATTTGAACACCAGCATATATAGAGGTATACAATTTTTTTTTTTTTTCAGAAAGAAAAAAAGGCCCTCTCCTTATGAGGTTAGAGCGTAAGAGTCCAGCAGATAAATGATGGTGAACAGAGTCTCCTTCTCTGCATATACGTAAAATCTGCCTAGACGTGTGTGATAGGTGACCCTGCTGGAGCAGGGGGGGAGGACCAGATGATCTTCAGGGGTCCCTGCCACCCTCAACCCTTCTGTGATTCTATGATACAGCAACAGAGCAAAGGGACAGACCGAAGATCCAGCATCTCACCAGTTCCACTATACACCTACACAGTTTTAGCTTGCAAAAGTTTCCTCATTCTACTTTTATCAACAACTTTACGGGAAATTACCTCTATTTTTATATCCCAGGGACGATTATATTCGCGGCCCAGAGCCCCACCTAAGCACCCCGGTTACAGCGGCAGCCAGTCCCCAGCTGCCCGGGGCCGATCCCCTGCAGCCCGTCCGCCCCCGCAACCCCCAGCTGGGCATTAACGGCACCGGCTCCGCAAACACCGGCGCTGCCGGGGGCGGTGGGCACGTACCCACGGCCAACTTTCGGCACAGCTCTGCCGCCCTCGGGGGCCGCTCCCCCACCCTGCTGGGGGCCCAGGCCTGCCGGCGGCGAGGCCTCCCGCGGCTCGGGGGTGCCGCGACACCGGGACTGAGCCGTGCCCACCCTCTCCGCGCTCGGGGCCCGGCGGGCAGATCGAGCCCCGGCCTCGCCTCGCTTACCCCGGGCCTGGGCAGGAGCGGAGCCAGCAGCGCTCCCAGGCTGACGAGGAGGAGGAAGGTGGCGGCGGCGGAGCGGCTCCATGGCTGCCACCCGCGGGGGCTCCGGGCCGCCCGGCGGCTCCCCCCGCACCGCACCGCGCCGCCTCCTGCCGGCCTCCCCGGCGCTCCCCGCACGGCGGGGCGGAGCCGCCCGGCCCCGAGCCCCGACGTCAGGCCCGGCCCCGCGGCTTGGCGTGCTCCCAGCCCGGCCCTGCCGCCGGCCAGCGAAGAGCCAGGGGGAAAGCGCTCGCCTGCCCCCCTCGGCACTGCGGGGTGCTAAGTGCGGGGAGGAGGGAGGCTCGCCCCCACCTCGGGTAATTGCCCCCTTGGTTTTAGCATTTTCGGAGCTATATCAAGAGCTATGACAAATTTATTTTGCATCGCTCTTGATAAAGTCACGTTGAGCCTGTTATGCCCGCTAATGCCTTAAATAAATGCAAAATCAACGTGCCCCTCTGAGCCATTAACGAGGTCCAAGTTCCTCTGCACAGATAAACAAATGCCGAACCAAATGGAAGAGGCTCGGAAAAGAAAAAAAAAAAGAGTAAATGTACACCGCTTGGCAAAGACCTAGCTTTCAGGCGTCTATTTATATAACAAAGCCACTTTGTCCTTGTTACGCGCTGTTTGCTTTTTAATACTGATATCATTAGCGGAGCTGCAGAGCACACCGCGTCCTCAGTGTGCAATATGTACCCAACAGATCGGCCCTGGCAGCTCCCTCCTTTCATAAGCATGCCTTTGACTGTAAGGAGACACAATTACGATCTAACACACAAATCTGAATACATAAAACCATCCTGGAGCTATGGAAATGCCACCTCTGGCACCGACGGGTTCCTTCAGGGCGCTTCGAGCACTCGGTGTGAGCACGGAGTGCAGCCACGCGCTGCTGGGCCCCGCTGCCCCCTCCCCAAATTGCAGCGCTGCCCGGCCAGTTTAGCCATTTTTACCTCTTCACACGGGATTTTATTGGCTTTAAGCTGCCTTTCGTGTCGTGGTACATTAAAAAAGGGCTGTTTTTTCCCTCAGCACTGCTCCCCGCCGGGCGCCTCTCCTCAGGAGCTGAGGAACCGCCGCCCAGGCCCGAGCGGGGACCACGCGCTGGCACTTTGAAACGCTATTTCTTAACAATACCGAAGGGTTACGGCAGAGCGCTGCAGAGCCGTGTAAATTAGACAGTACCGTTCTCCCTCAGCGGCACCAAAAGGCGGGCGGAGCCCCCTCAAAACCTCCCCTCACGCCCCCTCCGCCATCTTCGCCCGGCCGGTCCCGCCCCGCGCTGAGCCTCCTACTGGGCGGGGCGAGGCGAGGCGGGGCGCGGAGCGGCTCCGCTCTATAAAGGGCAGCGCCGCGGACGGTCGGGCCTTTCTGTCAGCACGGAGGTGCAGGGTGAGTCTTATCCGTGGTCGGCGAGGGGACGGTGTGTGGGTGGGGTGTCGGGCTGCGGTGATGTCTCTTAACGCGTGTTAGACTGCTGATAACCGTGAAGTAAACCTACAGCTGAGCGCCCGGGGATGCCGCGCACCCCGCGGGGCGGCTGCCACACGCGGTGTCCCTAACCTCCGCTCTTCGTTCTGTGTCTTTCTGCAGGGGCCGCGCGGCGACCGGGCGAGCAAAGCTGCGGGGAGCGGCCGGGCGAATAAAACTGCGTGTGCTCCACCACTGTGTCCGTCTGGTTCTTGTCCGCGTCCGTCCTTTTCCCCGCACTGCCTTTGAGCCGGCGGGGCGCCCTGCCCGCGGCGCCGCCGGCCAAGCAGCGGTGCCAGAGCGAGCCCCTTGTTGATAACTGGTGCTGCTCGGCACGGCCCGGGCGGCGCTTTTAAAAGCAAGGTACAGGGCGAGGGCGCGCGGCCGCACAAAATGGCGGCGCGGCCTGAGGGGAGGGAGCGGGAACCGCGCAGCGCTGCCCTCAAAGGGGAGCTGGGTTCTCAGGTTCTAGAACCGTGTTCTGTACGACATACGCCGTTCCAGAGCCCTGCACAACTCCTTGGGGAAGATGCAAGGGTTCACTTGACAGATTTATTTAAAAAAACAAAAAAAACACAAAAAAAACTACTAAGCAGCAAGAGTCCTAGCCGTCCTTGAAATAAACCCTCTGGGTGAAGGGGAATGATAAAACCAGAGAAATGCACCCATCTGTATGCTAACATTTAGCCTTTAGAGCCCTCTTTAAGAAAAAAAATGCAAACTTAAATCTAGTGATATAAGCTGCAGCTAATCCTAGGGCCTCTTTTGTTTTTTAATAGCTGTGATCTTGACATCTTGGTAACTGAGAATGGAGTTGTGCAAAACCATGGCTGTACATAAAAACAGTGCATCTATACCCACTCTGACAAGAGCATTGGGATAAAGAATAGTTGCACTGGAACTACTGAAGCTCAGAAAAGTTTTTAAACCTACTATTGAAGGTACTCCTAGTAATTTCAGAATTTTCAACACAACATAAAATTTTAAAAGCATGTTTTTAAAGTATATGCTTCACATAAGTACTAACAGTTGAAGTGAATGGCTGGCTCAGCAGAAAATATAGTATAGATAAAGGGGAGAAGACTGGGGGAGTCAGACTGTTAAGGCACATTGCATTTCTTCTTCAACTGTATAAAACTTTTTAATCAGAGAATAAATGGTCTGAATCGTTTAACCCTAAAATCACCATATGCTATCCCATATGACTAAAAAATCTGAAAGTGTTTGTATCACGCTTGTCATTTACCAACTTGCTTTTCTAATTGCATTTTTGAAGCAACTTGCAGAAGGTGGCTAAACACTGTAGAAATAAGTTTTAATTGAGTAACTGTTTGACATGAGATAGATTTATTTAATAAAACAAAGCAAGCAGATTGTAGTTACCCACAGTTTATGAAGTGCAATATGACAATTTTGTGTAATAATCTAAATCTGTTTACACATTAGTGCATCTAGTCCTTTGACTTTAGTTATTGCACATAAAAATTAAATCATATAAAAGACCTGCGTACAAGACATGCAGACTTCATGAAAGGCAAATAATGCCTACATAATCAGAGCAAAACCCAGAATATACACAGCCTGGAATGGTCAAGGAGGAGTTCAGGTAACAAATATACTAATATTTCAATTAAAGGTAACCAAAATAGGTGTTCAAATATAGAATTAATTTTAAATATATTAAATGCTAGTTTTCTTTTATGTTTCAGGCAAGGTGCTGTTTAAAAAACCTTCAATATAATAGCTTCATTTAGAGATGGTAAATCATCAAGTTACACGTGGAAATTTTGATTTACATTAAATGTGACAACACAACGTACAAAAAAGTTCTTAAAAAATTACTTCTAAAAAAAAGCAAATTATGTTATAAAAGGAGAGCCAAAACTCACCTTCTTTGTAAACTAAAATGTTTTCTGACATCCATGAACTGTTGGCAACACTGAGTATCAGAAAAATATTACATGTGTTAAGTAGTGGATATGTAGTGTTCAAATATTGAATTTACTGCATACATTTACTCATGAATCATCAGATAGAAATCAAAGGCAGTTTCCCATCCCCCCTTAGTTTTGGCCATTAATTAGCACAAACAGTCTTTAATTATATCATGATCAGCTTGAATAACTGCAATACTTGAATTCCTATTTCACAAAGTCAAAAAAAATGCACAGGGGTCAAAATCTTTCCATTACAGCTGCTTTCACAAACACCTGGCAATTTGATGCCTGGAGCTGCACAGCTGTAATGTGAGAATTTGGTCCCATGCTCTTTGCATGTAAACACAGTGCAATGGAAAGAGTCACAGCAACAAACTCTCCTATAAGAAAAAAACTTAGTGTGTTTCATTGTAGCAAGAGGCTCTATACACAGTAGGGTAACTAAGTACTTCTGGTAATGTGCAGTATTAGACATTTTGTGTGTGTGTGCTCATGTCTTTATAAACATTCAGAATTAATCATGAACCAAGGTGATTGTACCTCACTATAAGGCGGCTTGCTATAGTTTGGTCTCATGGCTTTACCAACTTTTTTCTCATCATTTACAAAAGACAGTCCTACCTTCACTGATAGTTGTGTGTGTGTGTTTTATGGCTAGTTGCTTCCCCAAAAAAAGCACAAGTTCTATATGAAAAAAGTAATATGTATATACCACACTGAATCACAATATTACCTATACATCCAATTTACATTCTTTTATCCTGAAAGCATTTTATATTTCGATTGCTTGACACAAGCTATTGACTGCAGAAGTGAAAGAACATAAAACAGTTCATTCTACACCTCCAACTGCCTGAGAAAGAAAAATATTCTTCCAGTTTTTTTTATAAATTCCTTATTTAGGACTTTTTCAATTTGGCACGCAGTTCCTTTGCTGCCAAACAACCTTTCAATGTTTTAATGCATACTAACATAGCATGAAAACAAGCTAACAAAAGCTGTGTCAACAAGCTCCTTCCTTGATCTGTTATAGTTAGGTTCTCCCTCCCTCCCCCAAAGAACAGGTCATCTTAGCCTCTGAGTTAAAATCCTGATGGTAGCCAGTGCAAAAATAAATCAATTGCTTAATGGAATGACACTTCATGTAGCTGAAGTACACAGGAACAATAACCAGGCAAATGAGCACAAAGGTATGGTTCTAGGCAGTCCTTGGGAGGGGGAAAAAAAGTGGCACAAATTGAGGATGAGAACTACAGCACAGTTTATAAAACCATGAGAATAACGTCTATAATACTGTAAACTGCAAGAGTCTTCACATGTTATGGTTGATCAGGGGCCTCCGTGATCAGATCTTTAGTAGGGTATGTAGAGGAGCGGGGATCCATGGCTGAGTGCATTAAAGGAATATAAACATCATCCATGTTTGGCATGACAAAGATTTTCTGTGGAAAAGAGGCAATTAAATCAAGTTACATTTCATATGCCACTTGAAAACTTGTTTTTCTGCTTTTAGTTTTAAAAGAATTCCAGATACATACTTTCCTCAAGTTCAGTGTTGTTTGAGTCAATGCCCATATTAGAGCCCTACAGCGTCTACTAACTGCAGCCGTTTAGTTGTGTTACAGTTGCAGACGAAGCTCAGAAATAACTAAGATCTCTGCACTTCCCATTAAATAAGAGTAACATGACAGGAAAAATACCCACTCTACTGCTTTCTCAGCTCTCATACATCAAATTATTTCTAATTAAAAAAACAGCTTTGATTTCACGTCAACTGTATAGGAATGAAGCTGGTTAGTTAACTGTTTTTATGCCCTAAAAGTACTTGCAAATTCAGAGATTTCTTGTTTTGTTTTTACAGGTGGTATTACAATCACTCGTTTTATTTTATTTTAAAGGAATTTGTACAGGGAGACCTTAGTGCTTCATACGTTCTTAATTTCAGACAACAGTTTAACCCTCTTCCATCTAAGAACTCCTAGGACCATGCTTTTGTTTAAATACTACTCATTCTGACATACCATCTATTTCATGGAAATAGCATTTTCAGATTAAAATCATCGTGCAAGTGCTAAACCAGATTTCCATCCAGGCCTATCTATACATGGTCTAAGGACTACCCCAGGAATCAGTTTCAGATGAATTTTTAACATGCATACCACTGAACAGGAGCAATGGACAATGCTCGTTAGTCATGAGTTAAATTGGGGATATGCAAAAAATGTAACAACCCACCAAAATTATCATTAAGTAAAAATGCTGTTAAGGAAACGTACCTGAAACTCTTGTTCCAGTTTCCTCTCTATCCAGTCAGTCACATGAACCAGAGTCACTTCTCTTTCACCAAGTTTTGGCCGAGCTTTTAACTCCAGGTAGGGAGGTCTTCGAAAGCCATACCTTAAGAGAGCACACAGGACAGGTTTTATTACGAACACTCCAATGAGGCATATACCTGTGTTATCTATCAATATCCCATTAATAGTAACCCATGCCTCATTTACAACTAGATTGTATTGTACCTCTTCCAGAACCCATTTCAGCTGCATTTTACCATTAAGTAGCACACCTGAAACACTGCACAGCTCTTACAGTAAGTTCCTCTTACCATATTCTGTCAGTAGGTGGAGGTGGAATGTTAATTACTAGCATTCCTCTGCACTCTTGTACTTCAACTGTTAGCAGCAATGGAGTATTAGAGACCTCTTCAATTTTCTTCTTTATAAACTCAGTCTCTGTTGCTTTTTGAAAGTATTTTGACTTGGTAATTTTGTCCACAATTCTCATAATCTTACTTGTCCGATGTCCTCCAACATACCTTTGATAGAGAATACAAAAAGTATATCAAGGTACTTTTATTAAACCTATTATTTGCTAGAGTCCTAAGGAATTCTTCTTAAGTCACTGGAGTTTTGGAATTTTTATATCGAAACACTGGCGCATATTCAAATGTCCAAGCAGCACCTCCCAGTGCCCACATACAGAGGCATCACTCCACCAGCTACAATTTTCTGGCAGAAATTCTGAGCATTCTTCTTTCCCAGATAGTATTGGAAAAAAAAAAAAGCAAAAAAAAAAGCATTGTTTTTAAATTGCAAATATATCATTTATGCCAGCAAACTGGCATGGGAAGTGACAACTTGCCTATAACCATTCTAACAAAATTGTTAGGACAGATGCACTGAGATACATGCACGTATCCTCAGCACAGAAAGCCCAACCATATTGCAAAAATGGTTAATGATGCCTGCTACTTCTCCTGGCAACAATACCAGGTGAAGGGAATCCTAGTTGTTTTAAAAGTGATGCTTTAAGGACTGAGTATGTCTCTTCTCATACCTATCATATCTGAAAAATATACACCATAAGAATAGCATATTTAGTATTATTACACACTATATTATACCTGACTGTCGTTCATAATGTTATATACAGTGATAGCTTTGCTAAAGATATTACATCTTCCTATCCTGGAAAAAAAATAAAAAAAATGCTCATACAGCCTTTTACAGAGCTTGCTCCTGAGCACAAGAAACTCCTCAGCTGATACAAAAGGTGTGAACTCAGATTTCAGATTTTACATTTACATTCAAGTTAACTAGAAAGTAGTTACTCTCCTCAGATTCTATAGTGATAGCAATACAGATTTTGGGAAGGTGTTAGGAACTTAATTTTTTTTTTTTTAATGTGATCTATACATTTTTAAAGATATGAAATGCATCACTGAAATTCATCACATAGTTTTCAAAAGGTTTTAGGAGTCAAACTCCAAGAAAACTCCCTGCAACATTTTAAATACAGCACTGAAGCTCTTGTTATATTCACTATAAAGATCACTGAGATGCATTCAGACATAGGAAGCACTGTGATTATCCAGGACCATTTCAGGCATACTGCAGATTTCTCACTTCATGGCATTATCTAAATCAAATGTAAAAAAGTGAAGAAAAAAAAAATCAGAACAGTAACCAAAGCAACACCTAACATGGCAAAACTGATTTTAGGAAGTTTTCTTTAGAATTCTTGTGCAGCATCAGAGGGCAGTATTGCACAGCCCAGATACTCAAAGCCCTTCAAGGAAAAAAAAATAGCAAGAAAGCCAGGCTTGAATAACAGTTGTTTGATACCGTCTTAAGGAAGAGAACACACTGGAAACAAGGGATCAGCAGGATCAGTATGGGTATAATACTGTACACCAACAGTCTTTCAAGTTCATAAACAAAATTCTATTCTTGGTTCTGCTACCAAGCAAGACAGGCTGGGGGAATTTCTCTGTAGGTGCTCTGGACCAAGAGTTGTCTCTCTCTGTAATCTAATAGCAAAGCAATCAGGAGGTGTCAAATGGAGTAGCATACAGTTTATGCTGCAGAAGTGCTGAATTGTGAACAATGCTCCCAGCAAGGCAAACCACACAGCAAGAGTAGCTTTCTTTTCTTTTGCAGCACACG